GTGTGTCTGTGTACTGTATGTGTGTCTGTGTACTGTATGTGTGTCTGGTAGCTATGAAGGCAGAAGGCAGTGGAAAGGGTATTTCTATGGACATCGTGACTGGATACGAATCAAAAATAAAGTGATACTGCTACCACGCCTGGTTGTTGGCAAATTTTAATAAACTAGAATAAAACCAAATTCTAAGTAGATTTCAAAAAGACTTTATAAAATAATTAATTTTCTAGTTACATTTTTAATCTGTGAAATTAAGTATTTTTTTCTGCATTCTTTTTTAACTTTTTCTGTTGTTGTAACCAAATACCTGAACTTAGTGTCCTCCATGACAGAAAGCCTTAGTTTGTGAGGGGACACAGCCCATGACAGAAAGCCTTGCTGTGTGAGGGGACACAGTTTATGACAGAAAGCCTTAGTTTGTGAGGGGACACAGTCCATGACAGAAAGCCTTACTGTGTGAAGGGAACACAGTCTATGACAGAAAGCGTTGCTGTGTGAAGGGGACACAATCCACCATAGCAGCCAGATAGCAGGATACAGTTCACATTGGCATCTTCGCTCAGGAAGCAGAGAGGGGACAGAAAGTGGGACCTGGCTGTAGAAACCCTAGGGATCCACTCATTTCTTTCTGCCAGGTTCCACATCCTGAACCTTCTAAAGCCTTCCAGAACAGTGCCACTGGCTGTCCAAACACATGAGCCTATGGGGGACGTTTCACAGTCCAACCACAACACATGTAGTCTGTTGTGTGTGTGAGGATTACTTGAGAACACGTAGTGACATTGAACTGTGGGTACCATTCTGTGCTACACTTTTAACTGTTTATTCTTTTGGTCTTGTTTTGCATCATTTTTTGAGTTTTGGTCTTTGTAGACAGGGTTTCTCTGTAGCTTTGAAGCCTGTCCTGGAACTCACTCTGTACACCAGACTGGCCTTGAACTCACAGAGATCCACCTGCCTCTGCTTCTCCAGTTCTGGGATTATAAGCATGTGCCACCACCACCTGGCTTTGTTTTGCATCTTCTTATCATGAAGAAGTAGTTCTGAAGTTTTGATTTTTTTTTTAACAACCATTGTTTTCTACAGAGGTTTCTGACCCACCTGGTCCCGCAGCTGTTCAGTCCCAAAGAAATACATAGAGGCTTACATTAATTATAAACTGGTTGGCCTGGCAGCTCAGGCTTCTTATTAACTCTTGCATCTTAAATTAGTCCATAATTCTTGTCTGTTTAGCCATATGGCTTGATACCTTTATCAGTGAGGCATTCTCACCTTGCTTCTTCTGTGGCTGGGTGACAACTGAGCCTTTCTGCTTCCCAGAATTCTCCTGTTCTCATTGCCCCACCTATACTTCTGCCTGGCCACCCTGTCTACACTTCCTGCCTGACTACTGGCCAATCAGCTTTTTTTTATTAAAATAACACAAGTGAAATCTTTACAGGGTACAAGGCCATTGTCCCACAGTAATTCTTACTCAGTTAGTGGGAAGGAAAAATGTGTTCTGAACTGAAGATGTTGTAACATAGCTAGATTATCCTCTTGAATGCTTGATCTGTCTGTTTTTCTTTTCCATATGCCTTGGTTCTTTGTTTTCATTGTCTGTTTTCTTCTATGGTTTTCTCTCACCTAATAAAGCAAGGTGTTCATAATTGTGCTATGTTATCAAGAACTTCGTTTATTTAGAATGGCTATGAAAAGTATATAGACATTCATTGGGATATACAGGCTTTGTTGTGCTTTTTTTTTTAATTTGTAAGTTTTCTTATAGTAAGGTATTAAAAAAAAGGTAAAGAACTTAGTTCGGCTCTCCTTTTCCTTACAGAAAGGGCAATTGCAAGACATGAAGTCCGGGAAATTGAGCAGCGACATACAATGGATGGCCCTCGGCAAGATGCAGCTTTCGATGAAGAAGATGATATAGTCATAATTTATAACAGAGTTCCCAAGACTGCGAGCACCTCCTTTACCAACATCGCCTATGACTTGTGTGCGAAGAACAGATACCATGTTCTCCACATCAACACTACCAAAAACAACCCAGTAATGTCATTGCAAGATCAGGTAATTATCACGTAGGGAACACGAAAATGCTTTCCAGTGTCCCCTCCAATCTGGTGTTGCGGGGGACGAAGTGACTTAAAGGGAGATGAGCCCTGTTGTCAGTGAATTGTAAGCAATTTTTGTGGGGACGGGACAACCAACTTCTTTCCGAATTTATAATCTTCCAAATACTTGACACATTTTCTTCCATATAATCTGTAGTCAAGTATTTGTGAAATAAGCAGACTGATAAACGGCTAGAAGTTTTGGGCACAGTTTTGATATTCTTCCATATGGAATCCCTTGGTTGGTGGTGGTTTTGAGACAAGGTTTCTCTATGTAGTCCTGGCTGTGCTCGAGCTCACAGAGATCCACAGGCCTCTGCCTCCCGAGGGCTCCATTACAGGTGTGCACCACCATGCCCAATGCTTGTTTTTTTTTTTTTTTAATTTGATAAGATGCCTGCAGCAAAAGTTACTTTATTGTCTCAATTTACAATGAGGAAGTATTGGCTCGATACTTGTATGCAGTTCTTTATTAGCTTTCTGAATCTCGTCTTTGGTAACTCATGTACATATGAGCCACAAATTAGCCTCCTGGAGAACAGGTTGTGGCTGGTGTCTTTATCAAAGTCTTGTCTTTTGATAGTCAGGAGTTCTGGATGATCAGGTGGATAGGTACCTTCATAAAGTGGTATTTTAAAATACAGAAGATTGTTAAATAAGTCTAGTTTATTCATCTCTTTCAAAAGTAGCCTACACTTTTTCACACATGTGCAGTGATGCCTATAATTATAAATTTCTCATTGTAAATATTGAAGGTGATGGGTATTTGGCCATCATAAAAAGAAACTAAAATCCTAGGTAATCCCAGATACTATTGAGTAGCTTCAATAGCCAGTATCCATTACAGTCTTTCTGCAGCTAGGGCTTCAGCTGTTCAGAAGCAGCGGAATTTGTTTTGTTATGGAGTTGAGCATTTTCCCACTGGTAAGTGCATCTGTAGCCCTTATACTAAACAGGGAGGAAATAAAACAGATAAGGGTTTTGAAGCCTTGTGATTGATACATATCATCATCTACCCATCTACTTTTTGGTTGTCTGTAAGATAATTTATTTTTCATAGAACCAAAAATATGTGTCTGTTAGCTAAAACAAATTACTTCCTGTAAATGAAAGGAATCACAAGCTTTTCTACACTGTTGGTTATTTTAAAAAGCTCACAGTACTGTATATCTCAAGGGACAGCATACTAAATGTTATTTTTGCATTCTGTGCAATGGGTTTGCATTGTTGTATTGCATATCTTTTCTTGATTTAAAAGGAGCATGTCAGAATAATGTCAAATTTCCTCAGCAGTATTTTTTTATGATTCACTCGTTTGTTCAATTTTTACTTACTTTGTGTCCAACCTTACAAAGTTTTCTGGCAGCTACCAGGCATCTGGCAGTGACATGCGTGCTTTTTTTCCGTCATGAAATGTAAGTGTGGAGACGCTCGGCACACATGACATTTATCAGCACCATGGCTACATTTTCCAGTTGCATTTGGATGGGATCCAGCCTCTGCTTTCCTTGCAGCCTTGGTATTTATATGTAAGGAGGGCGCAGAACAGCAGAAGTGCTGGCCCAAAGCAGTCAGCGTATATAACGAACAGCACTCAGAGGTTGGTTTGGGTTTTGTTTGTGTTCTTTGTAGAACACTTTAGGGAAGTGGTCTTAAGCATTAAATGACATATCCCAAATGTCAGCCAGTAACTCAAAACCTGGTCCTAATTAGGAGTGGCTTATACAGACGTGTCCTTTGATACAGCATGTGTAATGTTTTCTGATCGCTTGTGTAGAAGCCATTTTCTAAAAACAAACCATGTTGGGGCTCCTTTTTCTTAGCATGGCATGTTTAGAGTGCTTCCCTTACAACCCAAGGAGCTTCATCTGAACACAAACTTAAGACTTTGTTACTCTGCAGTCGGCTTTCAAGTATCCCATCTTCTATACTGTTGCTCTATTTTAATGTCATATCATAATATTCAGCAAATTAAGGAGAAATTAAAGGTGGTTTTAGCCCTTTCTGAGCAAATAGCTTCAAATCGATGTCTGGCTTTAGTGAGTGTGCTGTTGTCCAGAACCTCCATTTAAAGCCCAATTGACTCATAAAAAAACTGGGGCTGTGATAGGAGACCCTGGTCCTTTTTGGATGTTCATGTATCGAAATGGAGCTCTTCCAACCCAATCCAGCTCATCCCACCCAGCCCAGCACTGCACATCATGTATGTATATACTAGGCACCATGTAAATTCCTTACATGCTTAATTACTTTTCTCTTAGTTTAGAAGCAAAACACTAAGCATGTTTAGTCTGATACAGAGCTGTTCAGTGAGATGACAGCAATGGCCTCCTAGCCATCCTGGAAAGTTACCAGCTTTGCTCTCAAGTGTGTCATATACCTTACTGAACATATGATATATATGAAGATTGTACCACATTCTTCAGGAGAAATACCAGTGAAATAAAAAACCAGGAAATAAATACCATGAAATAAAAAACCTTGAAAGCATGTCTTTCAATGATATTTGTATAATTGACTTGAGAGCCTAAGACACAGAATCAGAAGTTGAGGATAATGGAAACATCAGTGATGATAATCTCATCAAAAGGCTTTTCGTAACTGAAGAAAGCAGACATTCGTCTTAGAACATCCTGGGAAACAACCTTCCCTCTCTTTGCTAAAGTTTCAATGTTGTGACAACCAACAGGACAAGGTGCTGGGTAGAGGCGCAAACTACAGGAGACTAAGGTGTGGAAAGCACAGACATGAGATCTGTAGTTGGACATTTGATTTAAAACAGTAAGATCATAAGCAATACACTGGTATTTAAGAATGAAGTGTGGATGTGTGCTGTTCTCAGGCACTTGAGAACAATGAGGATGTCAACACATAGAGACACCATACTGGAAGTTGCAATATATTAACAGTTAAGGATCTAGGTAAGCAGTTTGGATGTTGGCTCCATACCGTTTTGCCTTTTCCATAGTGTAGAGTTTGTTGCTTTGGATGGCTTCAAATATGCAGGGATGTTCTACCTTTGCCTCCTGTCTGAAATGAAGCAGTTGGAACAGTGAAAGAAAAAAGGTTTTTAAAGAGGAGATTAATAGAATAGAAAGCACAAGAAACTAAGTGATTAAAATGAAGTGACCTTTGTTAGAGTTTTGTTAACTCCAGTTTCAAGGGATCCAAGTTCCTCTTCTTGCCTCTGTGGGCACCAGGCATTCATGTATACAGACACACATGCAGCCAAAACACTCATACACATAAAAAATAATTTTTTTTAAGAGAAAGAATTGCTGAGAGACACAGCTCTTCTAGGTAAGAACAGTAGTGTGATTGGCAGCATCTAGTCTCTTCTCATATGCCTAGTTGATTATATGTGAGCCCTCTTGGTTTAAACATTTAAAGTATTTAAAGTAGGGCTAGAGCCCTATAGGACAACACATTTAAATATTTCTGTTGTATGTGCATTTGTGTTTTGTTAACTTACTCTCAAGCTTGTTTGTGCTCATTTTCATTAGAACCTAGATAATTTGCTGTGTGCTGCAGCTAACTTCTCTGAGCGACATGGCAGCTAAGCATTCGGAACCTTTTATATGTAAGCTGATCATTGGTTAAAGTGCAGGTTCCTACTCTGAAGGACTAAATGGAGCTTGATGTTCTGAATTTTTAAAAAGCTTCCACTTGATGCTACAATTTGAGGATCAGTGATTTAGAACACAGTTCAATGGCATACAAAGACATATTGAGATCATTCCAGAAAATTTTATTTATCTTTAAATTCAAGTTCTTATTTTCCCTACAGCATCCAAATTTATCCACTAGACACTAGCCTTTTGGCTCATTGACTGTACTAGGCCTTTCTCACTTCAAGACCTCTGTTCTTACCTTCTTGTAGAATAAATTTCTCCTTCAGTTGTCTTCATGTTTTCCTTTTAGCGTTTCAAACAAACGGCAGGTCTTGAACCTTGACTAGCCATCCTGTGCTATATTAAATGCTCCTTCCAAAGTATTGGAACCACATCACTCCTGGTACTAATCGGTTTATAAAATTAGGTTACATATTGGTTTATTTCTTTTTGTTTTCCTCTACTGTAGTGTAAGTCCTTTGAGGGCAGAAATCTTGCTTGTCCACTGTTTGCCTCATGCCTTGTGCCTCAAATGGGTGACCAAGACATTGAGGATAGTTGAGACATTGTTATTGATGAATGCAAACAAATGAGCCAGCCTAGATTTTGGTGGTAGTCCTTAGCTGCCCACAGCACCATGGTTCCAGCTATAAGCACAGTAAATCCTCTGATGGAAGGCTGATCTTTATTTCTTGGGTGATTTAGGAGTCTTGAGTGGCTCAGATCTGAACTTCAGACTCTGTGCCCTGTGTTGCTTCTGAGCTTACGTCTTATCTATCCTCTCATTAGTTTTCCTGAGTATAGAAAACCTTCTCTCTGGTTTAGCCTTAAACAGTATGCCTATGGCTAGACAAGAAATGTTTATTTAAAGTAAATTTATCAGTAGGAATTGGTGAATAGTAATTACTCAAGTTAATAGTAGTCTTCTTCTCAATAGATAGTAATTACAAAGTTGGAAGCAGGCCAGGGCATTCAGGGATACCCCACTCCTTCAGATAGAAGGAGCTCTTTTGTGATTGCAGCGATCAGGACATGAAGTCAAGCCTATCGCGAACGTAGGCCTAGATACTGTTCATGCGAAGGTGCTTTCCTAGCTCTTTCCTTTAGAATTGGTTCAGGCCTGATTCAACAAGCAAATAAATCATGTACCACCACCTACACTACTTGTGTTTTCCCTAAAGGTGTCTTGTGATTACTCGCTAGCCTGGCTCTGCTTGAGTTATAAAACTCGGCAGAAGTCATAGTTTAGAATCTGCTCCAGGCTAGCCATAAAAACATTATTTTCATGTACTGTATCTAACAACCCTTTCCGAACCATCCTTTTTGATAGCATGCTTCAGCGTGT